ATATATATATATATATATATATATATATATATATATATATATATATATATCAAGATTGATTTTTGGTGAGTGAGAAATAAGAGATTAAAGTTATTTATTGATGGACATGTAAAATGTTGGTTGTAGAATTCGAAGGGTCAATAGACATATGCCACCTTAGACTCTTAAATGAGGATAGCTCTCTTTATTATAACAAAGAGAGTTGTAGAAGTCACAACAACTAAATCTATGCACCAAGTGTTGGTATTGGCTTCGGCCGCACGCGTGCCCATGCTTTCTCTCTGTCCAACCAGATCAGCACGGGCACGAGTAAGGGCTATGGCTTTAGCCTTGTATCTGGGATCTTGGACCTTGGTCATTGCCACTTTGCAATTAGATTGTTGGCTGAACTTGAGAGACCTTAGATGGTTTTGGGTGGTGTTGGCCTAGGGCATTGAGCCTAGTCTAGGGTTGTTATCAAAATGAACTGTTCGCAACCAAAGTTTGTTTGTGTTTGATAACGGCTCATTCGTTTAGTAATCGTTCCGAACTCAAACATGAAATTATGCTCGTTTACTTATCGAACGAACATGAACAAGTTCACGAACTAAACGAGCGTTCCCGAACAAGAAGGTATTTTAGTATTTTATATATTAAAGGTATAGTATATACATATATAATATAATATATAAATATGGATATATACTAAATATTAAATAAAATAACTCTTATTCTATTAAAAAAAATAAAAAGTATATAAACACAAACACAAACTTGTCGAACAGTTCATGAACAAGTTCGACTATATAAACGAAGGAACACGAACTTGTTGAACCAATAAACAAACTAACACGCATGAAATTTTTTGTTTGAATATTGAACAAACAAACACAACGTGTTCAGTTCGATAACAACCCTAACCCAGTCGATATAACCTTTTTGCTGCCAATTTGTCTTCACTTTTATTGCCTAGAAGAAAATCTAATTTTAGTTAGGTTTTGGCCCAACCCATTTGGTCAACCTCTGCATATACAATGTATCTACACGTTTTGACTCCACCTGAGGAGTATGTGATGATAGTGGTGTTTTAACAACTGATAAAATAGTCTGACCGTTTTATGCCCACTAGACAATCTTAAGTGGGTTGCTCTTAAGTGGTAGATCTCTGTTGTAATTTCCTACTTGAGCCAGAAGTCCTATAAATCGAAAAATTCAAGAGTTGCATAACACACTCATACATCATCTGATTTATTCACATCTGAAAGCCTCACACATTATATATAGGCATAAGTTATTTCTCTGTTCAAGATTGTTAGAGCTTGGACGTTTTAAAGTGCTACAACTTCTGAGATGTAGTAGTTGTACCTTTTGGGACGAGACATCTGAATCCATAAGCATATTATGAGGTGTATTCACCTTGTTGAAAGTGCAACTCTCGCCTTGACTTATTCTTCTCCCGCGTCAAGATGTCTTGTATTGTTGTTTTATGTTATTAGTTGAAATTGCAAGAACTAAAACATATCAATTTAGTTCATAGGTTTCCCGCTGTAACTCAACACTCAGTTATAACAAATATTGCATTGATAATTCAAACATTTAATATAAAATAAAATTAAAATGTCTTCCAAATAATTCTAGTTTTTTCTATTGAAATTAATTATTAATTAACTTATACAGTGTCCTAAAATATCAGCTATATACTTTTCAGGCGGTTTCTACGGAGGGCAGGGCAATGTACAATGGAGGCCAAGCCGGGCTAACCTTTTGGAGCCCGAATGTGAACATTTTTCGAGATCCACGATGGGGCCGAGGCCAAGACACACCTGGTGAGGACCCGTGGATGACCTCCCGATACGCTGTTAGCTATGTGAGGGGTTTGCAGGGCAACGACAACAAAAATAGACTAAAAGTCGCCGCTTGTTGCAAGCACTTCACTGCCTACGATCTTGATTCTTGGCGCCGAGTCAACCGCTACATTTTCAATGCCGTGGTTCGTATGTGCAACATCATTAATGATATATTTATATTATTGCATTTTACACTAATTTTCCACATAATTTCTATGGAAAAATTGCACATTCTTCCATTATGTTTTCTCTAGTTGCACTTTCGTCCTTCATTTGTTTTGAGTTCCATCTTCGTTCACTATTTTTTGTGGAAATTTTTTCCCAATTTGAGATTCCGCCACTCATTTCCATCGGAAGTGTTGATTTGACGCATGGTTGGTGCCATTTATAATTATCTGGCATGATGTGGCGCCCACACTGCGAAGTTGTAATGAACATGTGAATTAAAATAGTAAAGATTTTTTTTTTCTAAAAAATAAAAAGAAAAAATTACAAAAAGTATCAAATAAAAACAAATCATTTTGACGAACCCTATTCTTTCAAGAAAATAAGATGAAATAGTGGCCGAAAAACCTGTGGAATTTGAGAATTTGGTATCATCGATCGACGATGAGATGTTCGCCATTGAGGGGATCAATGAGCTGCTATTTTGTTTGTTTGATAAGGATAGTAAGAATAAGATCTCAGCGGCTGGCTGGACACGACCGTGGAGGGCAACCAGCTCAACCTCGAATTGTGCTAGTAATGAGAGAACTTCGACTAAAGAGGCGGCACAGAGGTATGTGAATTATTCAAGCACTTGTATGCCCACATTGGAAGTAGCTCAAGAGGATGAAATTTCTCAGGTAAGATTTTCTGGTCGTTGAGGCTCTCTGCCGTGTGGGGCGATGGGAGTAGTGTGAGGGGTTATCCGAGGCAGGGGAAGAGTAGTGTTGAAGCAGGGTCGAATGCTGCAAGCACTTGGGAAAAAACCGGTCATTGTCCACATTCTCGTGACTTGACTTCTTTTTTTATTCTTTATTTTTCTACTGTTTTAATCCACATATACAACCTGAGCTACCAGAAGGTAGAAAAAGAGGAACGCTAAAACTAGCGATTTAGAATATGAAAAAAAATAAACCACTGCAGCAAGTAGTTGTTAATCAACATAGACTGAAGCTACAATCACCAGAAAAGACTCTTGCTGCAGCCGCACTAGCACAAACCACTAGCACAAAGAAAAAGATAAATCTACCACTGAACAATGTTTAGTAGAGATTTTTGGGTATGGGGTAACCGAGTTACTCGACTCGGGTCGTTCTCTAAGGAAGGCTATTCGGAGCTTTGGTTGCTATTCAATTGTCCAAACACACAAGACGAAAAATTGAAATCCTAAACATGCTAATCAATTTGGGTTGAGGGAGAATTAACACTAATTGCACTAAGAATTGAAAGCAACAATTAACAAGAGAATATAGCAATTAATACTACCGGAATCTCTATGCCATCAACACCAAACGAACTCAACCGAGAGAAATAAGCAAGTCATAAGCACAAGGTTACTAACCCTAACCTTCTAAACTAAGTGATTAAGCTCTAAATAGAGTCCTAACCCTTAATCTAGATAGACAAGTAATTAAACCCTACTAACACAAGCAAGAGCAATGATCAAATCCAAACTTCATATCCATCATCCAACAAACACTCAAATCCACATTGATAATCATCATAAGCAAAACTGAGGCAAAAATCGAAGTAAAGAGCTCTAAAAATAAATACCCAATCTTCTATTGTGTGTTAGATGAAAATCAGAGTCAAAAGCTCGGAACTTGAACAAAATAATAGTCGCCGGAAAACTCGTCGGAAAATGATGTCATAGAGTAGAGAGAATCTAGAGAGAAATCTAAAACTAAAGACATTTCCAAAAAGAATAAAGTAACAAATGAAATCTAGTGTCTCCAAATGCAAAGGGCCAAAATGTATTTATAGTCCAGCTAAAAACACATAGTAGAAACACGCAGATTAAATGAGACACTCTCGAGGTCGCCAATAAACTCGTGGGTCTCGGTGCTCGGAGGGCGCGGGGCCAGCACGAGACAAAGGAATACTCCCGAAGTCGCGGAGATTCTTGCGCGCGCGGACGGGCAGATGGGACGACACTCTCGATGTCGCGAAGTATCTCGCAGGCGCGGACGTGCGGTAACGGCACTCTCGAGATTGCGGCTGCTCTAGCGTGCTCGCGAGCGTGTGTGAGGGGACTTCCGAAGTCGCGGAAAAGCTCGCATGCTCGCGAGTGGCACAGGGCGCAGGGCGATGAGATTTCGCGAGGTCGCGGGTCGTGGAGCGAAGTCGCGAGCGTGGCCTGATTTTGATAACTTTGATCCACACAGCTCGGAAAGCTCGGAATAGAAATAGCTCGTACACAATGGCTCAAAACTCTTCGAAAATGACTCGGAATTCTTTGGAAATCTCGCCTCTTGGGACTTGGCTCGACTCTTCTCTTCACCCTCGGATTAAAACCTGAAAATGACACCAAAAAGCACGGAAAAGTACGCCAAAAATATAAAATAAAAGGAAAGACATAGAACACACGAAATACGATAAAATGGACCGGTCAAGACTAAAAAAAATCCTAAAATCCGACTCAACTATGCACATAAAACACATAAAAGAAACACAAAAACACAATAAACAAACAACCAAACCTAGCAGATTTACCACTACAACAACAGAAACCAAAGAAAATAAATTCCAACACCGTAGTCAACAATCCAAAACAACAAGAAACTAAGAAGAAAAAGAACTGCAAACAACAGGCTAACAAAAAGAGAACTCCAGCCAAGAAGAAGAATCAGCCTGAACTATAGAAAATTCATAAATCCATATTTAGAAAACCCATAAATTCTTTGCCTTCAACAACTACCAGAGAAAATAGACTGTCAGTTGAATTTTATGCTCAGAGATTAGAGAAGTCTTCAGGTTGCAGAACTTGACCCACCAGTGTTTAAAGCAAGAAGATTCCCCCTTTAGACCATCCCAAGAAATAGTTGCAATCTCCCAGACTCTTTTGGATTTACTGCAGTGAAATAGGAGGTGCTCTAAGATTTCCAAATCATCACCATAGGTCTTACAGATAAGATCAATAGACCATAGTCTCTTGATGAGTTGTTGGTTTACAGGCAGAATTATACTGAAGCATTTCCAAATGAAATGCTTTAGCTTGCCTTCAGTCTTGATGGACCAAATCATCTTCCTTGTAAACTTAACACCATCAACCAATTTACTATATTCAAGGACATCCAACTTTCTCCATTTTTCCTCAACCAACATCTCATTAGCAGAAGTAACAGAGAATACCAGTCTTTCCATAGTTTCATACAAGCAAGTCCTTACCATGAGGGTCCAACCATTTAATGTTGAGAATAGCTTGACACTCCTCTGGTGAAAAATAGTTCAGAACCAAAGCTATATTACAATTCCATCCTAAATCATCAAAGAGTTCATGGACCCAGGTGAGCTCATTCCTAAAGAAGTTGTGAGGATCAAGATTGAAGCTTTTTAAGTCTGGGATCTAGGGGTGATACCATATGTGCACCTCAGTCCTATGTTTGATTTTGAAGATGATATTCTGGGAAAATTAGAACAAAGCCTTCCTCCAGCTGGACCAGAGCCAGAAGCCATTGTGTTAAATCTTTGCAGACAGAATGTTAGGGTGGGGGAAGTACCTTCCTTTGATGAGTCTGCTGACCAGAAGGTTAGGATTGTTGCACAGTCTCCAAAGTTGATTGGTTATTAAGGCTTTATTCATAAAGTGTATATCATGAAAGCCCAACTCACCTTTCTCCTAAGGTAGAGTAAGCAAGTTCCATGATTTCCGCTGGTTGGAGCCTTTGTTTGCCTTTTTATTTGGCCACCAAACGGAAGCAAAATGTTTTGCAGTGTTAGCACATAGCTTCATGGGGAGAAAAAAGCCAAACATGGAATACAGTGGAAAAGCTTCCAAAACTTCTTTTAGAAGAATTTCTTGCCTGCAAAAGACAAATATTTGTTTTTCCAATTTGCAAGATTTTTCTTAACAGAATCTTCAATGAAGGAGGTCCCTTGCTTAGATTTATCAATACGAAGGCATCGCCCTAGGTATCTTGTAGAGGTTTGAGGATTAATACCCATAAGTGTTTAACAAATTTGATTTATGTATGCTGCGGGGTGTTTTTACTAAAAAATGAGGATAAGATTCATACATTGGTCAGTGATAGCATTGTATTGGCTCATTATTTTGAGAATAAGAAGGGCTTGGTCGTTATCTACTTTTGTGAAAAGTAAGGTGCCATTAGCAAAGAGGAGGTGGGTAAGTGTGGGATTGTTTTCGCAGACTTTTATGCCTCTAAGTTAACCAGATTGAGAAAATTTGTTAATGATGTGAGGAATTATTTCAGAAACCAATATAAAAATGCAAGGAGATAACGGATCTTCTTCCCTTATGCCTCTTGTTGGAACCACATAACCACATACTACCATTAATTTTAAAGGTAAAAGAAGCTTCAGTTTAAGCTGGCCAAGATCTATTTCACAAAGGAGACATGAAATCTCAGCTTCATCATGATTTTCCTACACTAGTCCATTCAACTCTATCAAATTCCTTAGACATATCTAACTTAATACCCATGAAGCAAGAATTTCCTGATATGTGTCTATTTAGTAAATGAAGAACTTCATGAGCTATTATGACATTATCCAGAATTTGTCTATTTGATATGAATGCAGACCGTTTTCACTAATGCAATGAGGCAGACATAACTTAAGCCTTTTTTAGAGGATTTTGTAGATGACTTTGTATGTTACACTGTAGATGCTAATAGGCCTAAATTGGGAGATGTTTTCAGAGTTATGCACTTTGTGGATGAGAGTAATAAGTGTGTGGTTTATGCTTGTAAGTATTTGACCTGATTGAAAGACATTTTTAATGAGAGACTAAAAATGCTGAAAGAAAGTAGAAGTCATACCATCCTGACCCAGGGCTTTGTGAGGTGAGATGGAGAAAATGGCTGCTTTGACTTTTTCCTCATCTATAGTAGTAATAAGTTCAGTTTTCATAGCATCAGTGATCACAGAGTATAACCCATCCAACAAATTATGATCCAGAGAAGGACCTTGAGAGGTTAAAAGAGCAGTGTAAAAGTCGTCTATACAGTGGGCTATTTCATCTTTGGTTTCAGAAATTGAAGAATCTTCGCTAAGTAATATGGAAATTTGGTTGATTTTTCTTCTCTAAGCAGTATGAGCATGGAAGAACATGGTGTTCTCGTCTCCATGCTTGAGCTAGTTTACTCTGGATTTTTGGTGCCAAAGCTGCTCCTCCAATTTGTAAGTCTCATTCAGCGTCTTCTGTATTGCATCCCACAGCTTCCAGTCTCTAAGACCACCATCCCATCTTAGTTTTGCCAATTTCCTGTGGAGAGATTCAATTTTCTTTGCATTCTCTGCCCTGCATTTGCATCTCCATTTGAGAAGGCCAATTTTTATGAACTTGATTTTTTCCTAAAAGTAGAACATGGGGGTTCCTGTATGATAGTAATTCCAGGCTTTTTTTAACCACATCAAATACCCCATCTTTCTGAAGCCACCTTTTATCAAAGGTGAATCTTCTTTTGCAGCCTTTAATCCAAGGGCTTGTGTTGAGTACTAGAATTCCATGATCAGAAGAGCTTTTGAAAGTGTTGGTGACTTGGGAATTCTGGTAAAGAGAAAGCCAGCCTAGAGAATAGTAAACTCTATCTAATAGCTCTTCAACAAATCCTTCATCTTGCATGTTGTTTCCCCCAAGTGTATTTATGCCTTAAAAAAACCAAATCATGCATTCCCACTAATCCTATAAAATTGTTAAAGGCACTGAAGGAAGACAAGGGTCTGGTTTTGCCTCCTTTCTTTTTCTTAGGATAGGTGATCTAGTTGCAATCTCTACTAACAAACCAGTAGTATCCCGACTTAGGCTGCTCTGTAATAAAAAATTCCACCACTCTTTCCTTTGGTTTAAGTTTGTGCATGTATAAATAAATATCCCCCAACAAGACTTAGCTTTGACATCATCCTAAAACTCTACCTGGAAAT